CCCCACACTCCCTGACCCTCACCAGTTTTTCAAGTATCTTTATAACTGTGACATTGTAGCTACATTTTTACCAATCCGGTTCTTTTTGGCCTCTTCAGAACTACTGTAACATTCCTCAAATCTGTGTTAGAGACACATTTATAATGTCAGCGACAATTTTAACTGTTGTTTTAACTAAATAAAGTCAAAAGCTGATCGCGCCTTCAACCTTCTGACTGGATCTCATTCGGCACAGGCCGGTCACCGGCACGACGCCCCACGTATCCAGCCCCACTCCCGCGCCTCAGGGAGCGACACACACCTTGCTGTCATCTGCACTAATATCCAAAATGTAATAACCTCTAACGTCACCTGTTTGCTGCGCGAAAGTTTGACAAACGCAAAGAAAGGCAAAGGAGGCAATTTAAAAGGCGAGTTACTCACACAGAGCGGACACGAGGAAGACCAGGCAGCTCATCCTCACGCACGAGCAGCCACAGACTGGGCGCGTGTGAGGAATTGGACCGCTAATGTCACTTTCTCGCCTTCCTCCTGTGTGTGACGTCACGCCCTGCGCCCTGCGGATACTTTTTGTGCCCAGTAAAAGTCTCGCGCGCCGTGATTAAAGTTCCAACCAGACACCGACACACACCTCATCATCAGTCAGGATAGCTACAAAGCTTTCTTCTGTATTACCGCGTGTCAGTAATCTGACAGCACTGACTACATCTGCGGTCTGTGACAACAGTTAGCGCTCCGGCTTCAAACCACAGACTGTATATAAAGATCAACAACGTGACAGCTGACAAACTACCAAGAAATCCTGATGTTCAAGGATCAATTTGTTCACAAAAAATAAATAAAGTAAAAGTGAATTGATTCTAATCACAATCTTTATTTAAACGGATGTAAATGTAAGTTTATAACCAGAATTTTATCCACCATCCGCACAAATACATGAAATTCTCAGTAAATCAGCATCATTCAGTCTCACTGTGGTTTTTACGTACAGATAACAACATCAAAGGAAAAACTA